CCCTCCCCAACCAATAATCAATCACTGCCTTCCATACTCTTTCCAATTCCACCTCTTCAATAGCTCTTTACTTCTTAACACTGGTCCACTCCTTTCCACCATCAGCTACCACCAGGGCCAGATAATTGCACACCTTGTCTCATCTGAGCCCCTGTGCTACTCAATTTCAATCTCATTTCCACACCCATCCATACAGAGCAACCAAAAACGCAAAGCTGATTCTTGCTCTCCTTTGCTGAAAAAAACGTTCCCTTCCTTCCTCTGGGATTGGGTCTTCCACGCACTCAGGATGTTTTCTCCCGTAATAACAACACAGGTTCTATCAGAGTATTGTAATTATGTACCGGTCCGCACCCCCCAGATAGATGACTTTCCCGCTTGCGTTCACCTAGCCCGGGGCTATTTCTTGAAGCCCTCCAGTGTATTATGCGCTGTTGATCAAGCAGCGAGTAGGACAAACATGTCCCTGCCTCACGCGAGCGTCTCACACGTGTATCACCTGCTCACCCTTCCCGAGCAGTTTCTGGTACATAGCAGTTGCTTACTAAGTATTTGCCAAATAAATTAAATGATACAAATGAGTGCTACCTAGGACGCCTGGGTGGCTCGGTCGGTTAAGCATCCCAACTCTTGATTTTGGCTCAGGTCATGATCTCACAGTTGTGAGATCGAGCCCCACGTCGGGCTCTGTGCAGACAGCGTGGAGCCTGTTTGGAATTCTCTCTTGCCCTCTCTCTCTGCCCCGGCCCCCTCTCAAAATAAATAAACATTAAAAAAAAAATGAGTGCTAGCCACTAAAGACGAACTAATTGCCCTCACCCCCATTCCACTTTTAGAATGAGATTCATGGGAACACATTTTATAAAATGTATCTCCAGGGTCAGTGTTTACAGATAGTGTCTTTTTATTCCAGAGACGAATTATTTCTAAATATTTTTAGGCTGAAAGAAGTCGTTAAGCGACTCACATTCCTCCAATGAAGATTCTGCTGGTAGCCAAATTACGGACATCAGCCAAGCTCTTAAGGAACTTATTAGCACATGACGATCGACATAGTCCATTTATAAGGAAGCATATTTTACATGAACTTGAAATGACCATCAGCCCTGCTGTTAAGGGGCTGCTCAGAGTGGGACAGACCCAGCACAGTGACGGCTGTGGAGGCCGTGAGCAGGGGCTCCCGGGACGCCTCGAGTGACAAAGGTTACAGACGCAACTAGGCCTGTCTAGCGTCAGGGAGCGGTGGGGACCTTGTCTTCCATTTTGAAATAACTCATTTCAAAACATAAGTGGGGGCCCTCTGGTGATCACACTGATTTTCTGAAGCTCCAAGACTGTAGTCTTGCCTGGATCACTTTTTTAGGGGCACGTGAATGGCTCAGTTGGTTAAGCATTCAACATCGGCTCAGGTCACAATCTCACGGTTCATGAGTTCAAGCCCCACATCGGGCTCTGTGCCGACAGCTGAGAGCCTGGAGCTGCTTCAGATTCTGTGTCTCCCTCTTTCTCTTTGCCTCTCCCCTGCTCATGCTCTCTCTCTTTCTCAAGAAAAAACATTAAAAAATTGTAGTAAAATATACAGAATACATAATTTCCCATTTTTAACCATTTTTAAGAGAACAACTCAGTGGTAGTGGTTTTAGGTGCATTCACACTGTTGTGCACCCAGGACCCCCATCATCTCCAAAACCTTGCATCTTCCCACACTGGAACTCCGTCCCCAGGAAACGCTAACGCCCCATCCCCTCTGCCCAGCCCCTGGCAGTTACCATTCTATTTTCTGCATCTATGAATCTGACTACCGTGGGGACCTCGTGCACGTAGACTCGCACAGGACTTGCCCTTGTACGGCTGGCTTATTTCACCCAGCACAGCGTCCTCAGGGTTCACCCGTGTTGTAGCAGGTGGAAGGATTTCCTTCCCTTTGAAGGCTGAGTAAGACCCCGTTGTACGGAATGACTTATCTTGTCTCTCAGGACATCTGGATGATTGCTGAAACATCACCAAAATGTCACCCGCGCCGTCAGCCTCACCAGGGCACGCGGCATGTCCACCGCTGAGCGTGGGAGATGGCTGAGGGCACTTCCTCTCTGGCCCCGGAGCCACCCTGGAAAGCCCAGAAGGAATTCAGCCTGTTGGCTCAACCATGGGCTTCTTGGTTGTGTGATGTGTAAACAGCTACGAACACCATTTTCCAGTCATTGTCACAGGAAGAAAACCTGACAGTGGACCCAGAGCACTCTCTGGAGTCTCTCTTATTTAAACTCGGAAAGGCCAGCATGAAACGTCTGCAATCGTGGGCAATGACCGTCACCATCACCTCTGATGAAAACCGCCAATAACTTTTCTCTTCAAATCTCTGTCTCTTCCTAAATGGGGTTGTGTCATCAGGCATCGAAGCCAATATTTTGAGACCTTGGCATCTTCCTGGAAGCCTCTCTGCTGGTCACTTCTGTCCCAGATCTCCTGGGTAGGGTCAGCTCAAGGCTGGAGGGAGGAGGAGGCAGAGACGCCAGTACCCCCATCCCCCTGCCTCAGAGGGCCTCCCCGGCCAGCGGCTGCTTCTCCTCTGTGGCTCCAGCTGCTGCCCGGCCGACACACAGGGTCCCCTCCCGTCCGACGAGCTCCGGTAACACCACTGCCTCTTCTTGTCCCTCTAGGCTGGCGGAGTAATGGCTTCCTGCCTGTGACAGTCCGGGTAGCCTCATCGTTCCCTTTCTGGATTTCTTTTTGTCCATTAGCTCTACAACCAAGTCTCTTGGTTAAATGCCCAGGAGAGCCTCTCTAGATCATCCCTCGTTACCATTCAGGAATGTGGGTGGCCTTCCTCCGAGCCCCACAGCTCTCCGGGGCCACACGCTGTGGCGTGCCTCGTCTGGGCTGTTTCTCTGCTTCCGTGGCCTCCTGCCTCCAGCCCGCCGCCCAGTCTGCGGCCAGGTTCCGGGCCCGCAGGGATGGCCCACAGCCCTGCTCCTTCTCATGCGGCACGTTGCACTCATTCCCACCCAAGTCGCGGTGAATCTTCTTCCCTGGAAGGCCCTCCCTTCACCTCCCCGCTCATTTAGACCCTTCCAGATACACAAGGCTCAGCTCACTGGGGCCACGGCTCTGGGGCCTTCACGGCTCTTGTCAGACGTCAGTATTTCCCTTGGCCCCTCCTCTGGAGTGGTCTGTTTGCTCAGTCCCCATCCCCACCCCACCTCCTTTCTGCTTTTACTTAACCGCTTTATTGGAGTCTTCTTCTTTTTCTTCTTTTAAGTTATTTTTTGAGAGAGAGAGAGAGAGAGAGAGAGAGAAAGACAGAAAGTGCCAGTAAGGGAGAGGCAGAGAGAGAGAGAGAGAGAGAGAGAGAGAGAAAAGAGCAAGCAGGCTCCGCACTGACAGTGCAGAGCCCGACGTGGGGCTCAAACTCACGACCCGTGAGATCATGACCTAGGCAAAGTCAGACGCTTAATGGGCTAAGCTTCCCAGGGGCCCCTAGAGTGTTATTCTGTTCCCAGTAAGCCTGTAAGCCCTAGAAGGCAGAAATAATCCATTGCATTTCAAACCTCAGTACCCAGAACAAGACTCTGCTAAGCACACGCTCATAAACTCTTCACCGGAAGAGCAAGGAGAACAGCGAGGGTAGGTTCTCTGCATGACGAACCCATCGCTTTCTCCCCAAAGCTAATGACTCTTATGGTTGCATTGAGTCCCCCCAAAAGCTATGGAGGAGGCTTACTCTCTGATGCCCGTGAACGTGACCTTGTCTGGAAATAAGGTCTTTGCAGGCGCGATCAAGTAAAGATGAGGTCGCTCATGCTGAGGCAGGTTGGGCCCTGATCCAGGAAGAACGGTGCCCTTATAAGAGGGAAGCGTGGACACTCGCAGACACAGCGCACACAGCCCTGTGAAGACAGAGGCAGAGGCTGGCGTGACGCGGCCACAAGCCGAGAAAAGCTGGGGCTCTCGGAAGCCGGAAGAGTCAAGGAGGATTCCTCCCCGTGGAGACTCTGCAGGCAGCAGGGTCCTGCCCAAACTGGACTTCAGACCTCCAGCCTCGGGAGCCGGGAGCCAAGAGCTCCCTGCTGTTGTTATTTTTTTATTTAAAAAAAATTTTTAAACATTTATTCATCCTCGAGAGACAGAGACAGAGTGTGAGTGGGGGAGGGGCAGAGAGAGAGGGAAACAGAATCTGAAGCAGGCTCCAGGCTCTGAGCTGTCAGCACAGAGCCCGACATGGGGCTCGAACTCACTGACCGTGAGATCATGACCTGAGCGGAAGTCGGACGCGTAACCGACTGAGCCGCCCAGGCGCCCCACGAGAGCTCCTGTTCTTCTAAGCCCCGCAGTTCACGCACTTCATTACGGCAGCCCCAGGGAACTAACACAGCAACCGAATACAACGGTCACATTCACACAGATGGACTCCAGACACGCTTCTCACATCCTTGCTGGGCCCACGGATAACACGGAGTGTTGGGGTGCCTCCTACAAACCAGGCAGGGATGGAGGGCGTCCACGCCAGGGACCCACCGTGCTGGTGCTGGAGTCCTGTCGCTAAGCCAGGTTCTTCCACCCGTGTCCCCGAATCCCCCTCCTCAGGAGGGCGCAGGGCCCCCGGGCCCCCAAGCGCTCCACCTTTGCCAGAACCTTCCCAAATCAACTGCAGTCAAACTTGAAGTCTAAAATAAGACTCCAATTTAAAAACCCTGTTGCTTTGCCGATGGCTTCTTCCTTCAGCCTCCCATTCAAGATAAATTCAAATAAAGCTTTTAAGGGCTGATTTTTTTGTAAAAGAAGCCGAGGCAACAAACGCTTTCTGATCGCGGTCCAGACATTACCGCTTTCCACTTAATTTCCATTTGCCTACTGCATCCTCAGCGTTTTTTTTTTCCTCAGCCTGTGATTTATGATAGGATATACCAGAAATGTCGGGGGCCCACAGCCTTGACTTGGGTGCCGTTCGGCCGGACCCCGCCCTCCCTCCCGACGCCCGGCAGCCCGGCCCACGGACTTACGGCTCTGGAGGAAGCGAGGTGTGTGGGTGAGGCCGCCGGAGGCCTGGCCGGGCTCTGGAAGGAGGATGGGCAGTACCTCTGGCCCGTGTCCGGAGGGGAGGTGGAGGCATAGATGCGATTTTCCAGCCGCTCAGGCTCATGCTTGTAGGATTCGAGAGGAAACGTGTGCTGCTTGGCCACTTGGGTGGGTGTCGACGGAGAGGAGGAGAGGCCGGAGGCTGAGGAGGAGACCGCAGACAGCTGTGAGAGGTCTGGCTGAGGCGGAAGAAGGAAAGAGAATGGCTCTTCCATTGCTAAGAACCCCAAATCTCAACTGGCAAGCATCTCAGTTACTAAATTCTGAGTGTTGGGGACAACCTTTTATCTACATAGTTCTTTTTTTTTTTTTTAATGATTATTTATTTTTGAGAGAGAGAGAGAGAGAGAGAAAGAGAGAGTGAGTGAGAGCGGGGGGGACCCAGAATCTGAAGCAGGCTCCATGCTCCGAGCTGTCGGCACAGAGCCTGATGCGGGGGTCAAACCCACGAGTCCTGAGATCATGACCTGAGCCGAAGTCGGATGCTCAAACGACTGAGCCACCCAGGCGCCCCTTTATCAACATATTTCTAATCCTCTAGAATCGGCAGTATAAAGAAATCCCCATCTCACCCAACTGGAGTTGTGGGCAGGGTCCCCTTGCCATTGGGGGCAGGGAGGATGCCCAAACAGTTCAGAGGTTGTCTGGTGGCAGACCTCTTTCACTCACACACACCAGGTGTCATTCCCCTTCGTCTCGTCAAATGCCATCCAAGCTTGTCTCCTACCCTACAAAGCGTGTGGCCAGAGCGGAACCCATGAAGGGCAATTTCATAAAGTATTCCACAGAGACAAAGGGCAACCTTGCAGAAGACACATAATGACAAACTCTAAGAACCAGACGAAACGTGCGATTACCATCGAAACGCGCAACATTAAGTCTTGCCACCGTGAGTTTGTGGAGGTGAGAGTTCACCATGAGGGTGAATGCCGGGGGAGGAGCAGGACTGGGAAGGGGCCTTGCAAGTGACAGAGTGAAGTCACCTGGGTAGGGACGAGTGGGAAGCAGCTGTGGCATGGGGGCCAAAGAATTGCGGGGAGACTGTCTACTTCAACGGGGCCTGCGTCGGGCAGGTGGCCATCACTCCTATCTAGCTTATTGTGCCATAAATCATTGTTGGGGGGCTATGTGTGTCCCCCAAATAGCTATGTTGAACTCTGAACCCCCAGCACCTGTGAATGACCTTACTTGGAAAGAGGGTCTCTGCAGATCTCATCAGGTTACAATGAGGTCACGCTGGAGTAGGCGGGGCTCTTAACTCAAGGGGACTGGGTCCTCATAAGAGAAGAAAACACAGAGACAGACACACAGTCAGAGGAGAAGCCAGGTGACAAGAGGCAGAGACCGACGTGATGCATCTCTAAGCCAAGGAGCGCCAAGCACTCTTGGCGACGAGAAGCTAGAATTCGTACAGAAGGACGCCCACTGACACCTTCCCTTCAGACCTCTAGCCTCTTAACCGCAGGAGAATAAACTTCTGTTGTTTTACGCCACCCAGCGTGTGCTGCTTGGTTATTTATGGCAGCTCTAGAAAACTCATACGGTGAAGTTGCCAGATCTTGGTTTGTTTTCCAAGAGAGGCAGAATCTGGATTCGGGTCTGGTGTCTCACATTTACAGATAACTAAATAGAATTTTTATTTTATTTTGTTTTGTTTTAAATGTTTATTTCTTTTTGAGACAGAGCATGAGCAGGGGAGGGGCAGAGAGAGAGGGAGACACAGAATCCAAAGCAGGCTCCAGGCGGCTGCCAGTACGGAGCCCAACGTGGGGCTCGAACCTACAGACTGTGAGATCATGACCTGAGCTGAAGTCAGACACTTAACTGACTGAGCCACCCAGGCACCCCTAAAATTTTTATTTTAAATCTGTTACTTAAAAATTTTAAACCACACAAGACAAAGCAATGATGTCAGGAGACAGGGTCCAAGGGCTCCCTGCTGTGTCCTGCGTTCCTGACCCCTTTGTTTGTGGTCCGTGGATACATGTGCTCCCTTCTCTGCTTCCGTCCTCACTCCCTGGAGGGGGTCTCCTGTTCCTCAAGAGTCAGTTCAACCAACCTCCTTTTCCTGACTCTATGGCCTGTGGCTTCTCGCTCCCCTGGACCAGGGACCATATTTTATCTGTGCGGCATGTTATCAGGTAACAGTAAGATAATTCAGCACTGAAGCCAAATGTGAAGCCATGGAAGTCTTCTGTCCCCAACCGAAGTCACCATGTGTCTTTGGGGCAGGGGCTCTGTGATCCCCACAGCAGCCAGCCCTGGCCTGGTGAGGGGAAAGTGCCTGAGAGACGCTCGCCCCAATAGGCAAGGCGAGAGAAGAGAGCGCCGAAGAATGGAAGGCTCCAACTCAGCTCGCGTCTTCTCTGCCTCCCTGTGCCCAGAGAGTCTGGGGGGCACGTATTTCCCTGGTGGGCCAGAAGCAATCAGTCAAAGGAGAAGCATCACCTTCCTGGGAACTGCTTTTCCCGTGAAGCCATCCCGAGTGGGAAAGGCCCCCTCCAGGCGCCAGGCTGACCCCTGGGAGGCAGAGCTAGGTGACAGCAGGAGACAGAACACTCTAGCAGCCATGGGCTTGCAGGTCTCAAAACTTAAGACACAAAAAGGCCTCAGCAGGAAAGCCCCCAACTCTTTTACAAACAAAAGTTTCCCCCCAAAGGTCTTGAGAAACCAGGCTTGCTTTGAGGGGGGGTTGGGGGTGGAGGAGGGAAGAGGAGGATCAAGAGGGGACCTGGGGGTTTCCAGCTGTTGTGGGGGAGTGGGGGGCCTGGAACGGCAGGTAAGGCGACAGGGGAGCCGCCTGGCCCAGATCTGGGCCCTTCTCTAGTGTCGCGGCTCCAACGCTCCCCAGCGATGCCCACGTAAGGGCGAGGAACGAGGAGGCCAGCCAGGGCTCAGAGGGCCGCGCCTGGGTGATCCGAGGGTCTGCTCTTGTGCTGCTTTGTGGAGCCCCGCCTCCCGGGGTGGTGGCGCGTCCTTCCCTGGCTCTTCTAGAGAGAGTCCTCAGCTGGCCCACTGGCCTGGGTCCTCACTGAATGACTAGTTCCCACGTCACAGTTGAGCAGGGAATTTGATGTCCTGCACTCCCAATGCTCCCCCAGCCACTGGACACAGAGTCCTCCTGGGAGCTTTCCCAGGCCGAGTGCTGGAGACCTAACAGAGGGGCGGAGCCGAGAGGGATGGGGGGCCGTTTGGACTCCAAGCTCGTGCTACCAACCCCATCTTAAGAGCCTGTGAGACCCTCCCGCAAAGCTCCTGTGGGGGTCTTGGTTCTCCACGTAAAGAAGGGACAGTCCCGGTGACGCCCAGCACCCCTCAGTGCTGAGGCTTCCGCGTCCGTCCAAACACAGCACACAATCCAAAACCAGCACTCCATCCTGCCTATGACTTTACTCCCAGACCCGTTCACACTCTGGCTCAAAGCACACTTGTGGAGGAGGGTTCAGAGGCACACACAAATCATGTACCTCCGTGGAGGCGCTTGGCAACATCGGGCAAAAATACAAATGCACATGTCCCTTGAGCCAACAGTCTGCTTCTGGGATTTCCTTCCACAGACATAGGGGCATGACCGCTACCTGGCAAGCGTGCGGGGTCATTCGTTACAGGGGTACTTTAAAAAGCAGGGACTGGAGGGCTGCCTGGGGGGCTCAGTCGCTTGAGCATCAGACTCTCGATTTCAACTCAGGTCATGATCTCAGGGTTGTGGGATCAAGCTCTGGGTCAGGATCCACACTCTGTGTAGACCCTGCTTAAGATTCTCTCCCTCTCCGCCCCTCTAAAAATAAATAAATGAATAAACAAACAAATAATTACACAACAAATAAAATAAGCAGAGATTGAAGACAGAGGTGCTTATGGACAAGAAGAGACTAACATAATGACAGCACAACCGCAGGGACGGCCGTGACTCCTTGACAGAGCACGACAGCCTTCCTCATTGTTACCTCAAGACCCAGCGGCAAGTAAAAAGGCAAACCCCGGAACCATCTGGGGAGAATGAAACCTTTACGGTCCCAGAGAAGGGGTGAGAACGTATACACATATATTCTCCCGCCTGTGTGCAGAGTGTCTGGGGAAGGCCATGGAGCGCCGGGTGTGCCTGGAGGCAAGAATTAGTGGCAGGAACACTGCCATCAGATACCCTTTGCTATTGTACAACTGTTACATCACGTGTGTTATCGACTCCAAAAATTACTTTCTTCAGCCCCTAATGTGCTTTTGAGCCAAGAGGCTGGCTAACACCTACGTAAGCACCTCCTGCCGTTCCCAGCTGCCCCACCAGCCCCGAGGAGGTCAGTCTCCCCACCTACATGAACATGCTCTGAGGTCAGGGCCTGGTCTCTCGCTCGCTCGCTCGCTCACTCGCTCTGCGAGAGGCTGTCCCACTTACAACATTCTTCAGGGACCAAGCCCAGTCACCATTGTGTAAGGGACATGCAGAGCTTGTGAAACTCCTTGCAAACTCGTCGGGTACAGAATGTTCATTCCTAAGTGTAAATAATTAAAGAGAACAGGACTAAGCAGGGCTCTTTAAAAGCACAAGTGGCGGCTTCTGCTTCTCCTGCGGCGCGTCCTCTGTCGGCTGTCCCCACCTGAGTCCTGGAACGGCCCTACCCTGATGCTGACCGGGGGCAGGGAGGATGGCGCAGAAGATGCACAGCCCTAGACACAACCTTGCTGAAGTGTCTGCCATGAAGAGACGATGAGTGGGCTTTCCACCTGGTGGCGGGAATGACTGGCTTCTAGGGGAACAAAGAGGTCTCCATGCCCCCAAGACAGCCCCTCCCACGGCAATCCTTCTGAGTTCAGAAGAGGGGTTCCATCTTGCCCCCTGGCCTTCCTGCCTCCTCTCTGCCCCCTTCCCAAATGGGTGGTCTTGCCGGGGAAGACAAGATGGCGCTCTGGACTTGCGGGGGGAGAGGACAGGTAAAATGATGCGAGGATTAGCAATGCGTGCAGTTCAGGGTAGAGGGAACGAACCTTCTTAGAACCAAAAATATGCTTTTCAGTGATACCGGAACCATCCTTAAGAGGGTAGAGTCCTGCAGTAGCCATATCTTCCTTGCATAACGCCTCACTGTTGACCAAGTGCTCTTACCACTCTTGTCCCATTTGCTCCCCGAAATGACCCCCTGTGGG